TATTAATGGGGTTTCTGCATTAATTGGAATCCCATTTTTTCCCTTATTCCAGAGGACAAACTACTCCCAAATTTCAAGGTGAAATATGATTTTACATGTACAGGAAGGCTGTTGTACGAGGCTAAAATCTTGTTATTCAGAAAGTTTAACTTGTTTGGAAGTGGAGATGACCAATGAAAGTGAAATCTATTTTAATAATTATAACTTTTTATTGTAAATTATATATATATATGTATATACAATTTTACTACATATTATTTTTACATATATTTACTTTATTTGGAATTGTGTAATTTTATTATTTTATTTTATCTTAGTTTAGAATTTATTACTTAAAGATGTTAGCATGTACTTGCTATCTTTAATTCAAGGATAAATAAAGATATTGTATTGTATTGAATCAAAGTGTTAACCCAAAGCAAAAACATTAATTTGAAAATGAGGTTTAGGCCTTCCTTTGCTTATTTCTTATATATTTTCTATAAAAAAGCCTGACAAAGCTACATCCTAACACAAATGCAACAAAACATCTTTGTACAATTGAAAATACCACTTCAAACAGGCATCTTATCATAGTACATCAGTTTCTAACTGTTTAAAAAAGGTTTTGAGTGTTAACCCAAAACGAAAATTGGCATCAAAACTCACACAAGTCTAGTTTTTGGCACTTTGAAAAAAATTTCCTCTTAAAACGAAATGATKTCTAGTTACTTTTGGGAAACAACTAGGAAGGATTGGGAAATATATTCATGATCTCACTAATCACCAAGTAAAAACATTTGTACATGAAAGGATTACAGTTGTATACCTTCCTCCTAGAGTTTCCACTTCAAAGAGGTTTAATCTTGATTTCCCTAAAAAAAGAATGTGGATTAAAGTCAAGTTATGGAGGTTTAGGGTGAAATACAACAAATAATGCCAGTAAAGGAATTGAATGGATGTTATAACTTGGATTAGATACAATGTGCCCTTMGTATTATTAATTATATTGGTATGGCTAACAAGGATATACGAAAGAAATGCCACAAATTCCTTTACAAAAAAGTCAGATTTCCTTTGTTTTTTTCATGTTAACCTCACATTCAAGATAATTTTTTGATAAGGGTCCATACATAAAATTTGACGCAAAGGSGAAGAAATTTTTCAATTTGCATCTGCATTCAAAAAATCCCACATTAAAGTATTACGCATCACAGTCAAAAAGGTAACTGGAATGAACTAAGTAGACTCGTTCTAATAAAGGAATAAAGAGTTTATGGAAATTGGGTTACAGAGAGTTTGAATATGAACACTTGTTTTTTAATGGATTTTATTAAGCATGTTAAAAGAAAACTGATAATATTAGCAATTAGTCCTCAAGCACAAATGGGCTACAAGTCAATAGCCCATAAGGGTGAAGGCCAAATGGGCTATTGATTCATAGGCCATGAGGCTGAAGGTCAAATGGGCTATTGACTCATAGGCCATGAGGCTGAAGGCCAAATGGGCTATTGACTTGTAGGCCATGAGGGCAAGAGGACTAATAATTATTGTTTTAGTCAAACCTAACTAGTCGGTCAAATATTAAGATGCAAACATTTAAATTTAAATTAAATTTTTTGACTTTCAAAGCCGACACTTTATTGATGGTTTATAGGTCGGCCATGTTGGTGGACTTTAACAAAAGAATTGTCAATGAATTCTTTTATATCCTCCAACATGGCCGCCGTGTCTTTTRTTATTTAATTCTCTTGGGAATGGTTGAAAACCATCAATAACTTATAGCCTACTAGTAGCTCATATAATCAGCATGCAGCATTGATAGACCGCTAGTTGGATTTGACTAAAAACAGGATTATATCCCGACGACTAAGAGCTATCATGTATTCACTCAGGTTATAATTTAAAGCAATTAACAATTTTCTAATATCGTACAGTCTGTCAGTTAGTTATAAGGAGCTAGCTTCTGGTTTGGCAAGGAATTTTTGATAGGTGCTCAAAACAAATTCCAAATATAAAATATAACCAAGATATTTTGTTTTCATAAAATTTCCTATAAAATTTCAAATCCAAAATGATACATCAATGTTAACTCAAATATTTAAATGCTTGAATACCTAATGTTGACTTAGCAGCAAAATTACAATTGATACTTCATAGAAACAATTTCTAGTTTGCGATAGTCATTCTGAGGAAAAGATGGTTTGAAGAAGAAGTTAGTATTCCACAAAACTGAAARCAACTCTCTTTGATTTTTGCTAAAGGTGTGGCAATACCAGCAACAAAATCATGCAACTTCTTGCAACAATGTTGGTCTGCAAGCCGCAAAGTGATATCAATCATATTTTAATTTTTTGCAACAAAACTATGCAACTTGCAACATTAACTTAATTGCGTGACAAGTTGCATAATACAATCAACATTGCTCTGCAATTTGCAATGCAACACTGTTGCAGGAGAAGTTGCACGATGTTCCAACTCATTATCTTGTATCAACATTAGTAAAGCAATAAAGGCATTTCTTYGAATGTAAAAAAAAGGAAAAGGCAAGAAACAATCTTTGACATTAACTTCTTTYATCTTCATTTGCCTGATAATAAATGCTCTAAAAATAAGTTCTTTGATGGAGGAAACTCAAGCAAAATTGTCAAAAGAAAACAACTTAACGCCGAATGTGCACCACTATACAATATGTACCTATCAATAATTAAATTACTTTGTAGTGTCTTTGACATTCATTTTGTGATGAATATTTTCTTATCGAAAAACAATACTTCTGATGAATACTTATTTTAATAAATACATATACTGTAATTTGTCCAAAAATGTCTCTACTGTTATTTGGTTTCTAATATGATCACCAAAATTAATAGCTGAAGGAAAGGTRAGCTCCAGAATTATACAGCTATAGCCCTCCATCCACAAAATGTACTGGAATCTTTCTTTGATCTGTCACACTGCTAAAACAAGAATCCACATGGATTAGGAAAGAACCTTCTTGTTTCTATCATCATCTTGACATAGATTTTAGGCAACTCCCAACCAGATAGTTGTGGTTTTTTTTGTCATCTGGAAGGGGGGCGGCTTAGAGTGATTTTACAGGTTCCTTCAGCGCTGTCATAGTCCAAAGATATGATAAAGTCCTCTTCATCAATAAATTTCTTTACAGTTTGATCATCTATTTCTATAAGGGAGCTGTAAMGAACAATAAGATGAGAAAATGAAATAACTGTGCATATTATATTATGTGAAAAATCTTCTTGGATTAAACAGTTCATCCTTGGTTAAGTTTCCTTTAATGGTAAAAGTTCTACAGTCAATTAAAACCTTGAGGTTACTCTTATTTTTAGAAAAAAGCAAAATTAAAGACCTCAAAGCTAAAATTGGCTGTAGTAAATAGTAAAACTCATGATAAATGTGTAGTTCCAGAAATTATCCTTACCTCCACAGGAAGAAATTTTTTAAGACCTCCCCTACCCCTGGAAATTCCAATTTTCTTCCATACAAACTCTGTAATTTCTGATCTTTCTCTGACCCCCACCCTTCAGAAATTCCAAATTCCTCTGTGGAGTGGGTATAGATCATTTCTGGAACTACACAACTTGATAAGGAAAGGGCAGAAGTCTAGAGCATCATTCTCCAAGGTGTTAAATGAAAACACACCAGATCACAGACTTTAAATGAACTACTAAGGTGATTCAAGCAAGAGAATTAAAAGACTTAAGTTGTAATCAGTAACATGGCATGTTTTTTCAACTGCCAACAATGGATATGAACCTACTAAATGTTTTTGGCACTGACTTAAAAAACTCTGCCAAAAAACTCTTTTGAAAGGAAATACTTGTGGTCAAATTAAATGTATTGTCTCTCAAGACAATAAAGGTGGTATCATCGTTAACCCTGAGGAATGATGTCCTAGTCCAAGTGAGGTTTCCCTAAATAGTCCCATTTCCTATTCAATAAAGCATTGTGGTTTTTTACTGCAGACTCATTTGGTAYGTATTTAGTCTTCTTTTAAAGTGCAGTATTCATAAGATAAAAAAAGAACACTGTGCAAACAATTTTAAAAGTAAGCAAGGTTAAAACTGTACAAATGAGCCTATGGTAACTGAAACAGCAGTGCTAATTGAATGAGAAAAACAACTTTGATGAGGTCTACTGCAGCTATTRTAATCAAAACACATGCTATCTTACACGGAAACAATCATATTTAGAATCCTTTTTCAAAAGCTGGTTACTTTTTCAAGACAACATGAATGCTTTGATTGATTATTCTCTTGAAGTAGACCTATCATATTCCAATAAGTTGTTAAGGTTGTGATAAATTTTATATACTATGCAAAAATAGATCAGAAGAATTAAAGCCTTTTGTATTTTGGTAAATAAACTAGCTAAACGAATCTTATTACTTGAATGTACATGCACTGTACTAAAAATTTATCACTTTCAAAACAAATATGACCCAAGCCCCAAATTTCAAAACGGAAGATGCAAAATGTTGCCAAATTGTCATCTTAATTATGCAAAACTGCTTAATCCAAGAGGTTTTCACAAAAAATATAATAAATACTATAATCTATCACAGGAGACTGCAGGTAAAATGGATGCACAGTCTTGGAAGCACTTGTCCTTTTTAGAACAAATAACTGTAATCACCACTATTGTTTCCTGATTGAGTTGAATTGAAAAGTAGCCAAAAACAAAGCTAGACAGAGGGTTTTTTTTATTATGATACAGTCACACTTTGATTAAATGTGCTTTATCCTGATCAATAATATTATAAGAATGAACAATACAGAGTGAATAATTGGAGGATAATTTTTGGCATATTTTCAGGTTATTTTTAGATCAGAATCAATGCATCACAAGACTATACATTCATTATTTGTGCACAATCTAATTATTCTTTATTAGAATATCACAACATTTGCATGCTCTTGGCTTTTTTTTCATTTACCCTCATAATGGATGTGGGAACCTTGGCATCATCTAGAACATTTCACTGAATAGATGCTGCATCAGCACTGTTGTGTAAGACGTCCTTGGACATATTAATGCATACATAACAAAATGCTATGCTATGCTGTCTACGTGCTTTTCTAGTTTTTTTCTATCTATACTTCTACAGTACACTTTTGAGAGGGGCTGCAGCCCTGTTGAATGGCAGAAACATTTCAAACAGAATTTGATTCTTCTGAGAATGAGATGCTGTTGCTTTGTCACTCAACATGGCTATAATGAAAAGGTTGTCCAAAACCTCAGTTTTGGGGCTTCCTGTTTTTCATGTTTCCCAGGATATCAAAATGATAGGAAAGTAAAAAAAACACAATTGAAAGTTTTTGATTTACTTTGTTTTGKCCATTTTTAAAATTTATTTATTATTTAWTTTTTTAGGTAACAAGAAAACCAACCAAATTATAAAAGTAATAGACTAAAATAATGTGGATGATTACTGTCCTACCATATCGTCATGCACCAAACCACCCAAAGTGTTAACACTACAACTATTAAGAATGATGCTAGCTTTGTYGGGACAGTGAAAACCTCAGTAGGGACTTTGGTTGGGATCTATGCAAAACAGACCTTTTTACTATTCAGCTGAATTGTAACTGGAGACATCCAACAATACTTTTAGAAATAAAGAAATAAAGTCAAATTTTCACAAATGTGCCTCAATCATAAATACACTGTATATCTCTGGGAATTTCTTCTACCAAATTGTTCATGTCTCCAATTGAACTGGTAGCAGCTTTGCATGACAAGGAAGGAACRAAAGCAGGGAAAAAATTCTCACAARATCTCACACAAAGCCACTTGTTTTAAACTAAATTCCTAACCTGCTGTTCTAGCACACTATCACACAGCTATCCAACATCACTAAATCGCAAAAACGATTGTGACTACTTTTCCACACAAAAATTGTAAAAGTTTGTTCAAAGAATGTATATTTGAATTTTGCAATTCTGACTCCAAAGCCTTATTTGGGAAAACCATTCAAAATCAAAGGTACAGTGATCATTTTTACCAATATTAGAGTCAAATTTCATTTGCTGTGTGATAAAAGCCTAAGCCTTTTGTTCTTGTATTTTGTAAGGAGAGTTTCTTGGTATCATCCGATCACCATATTTAGAGAAAGCAAATAAAGTTGACACTCGGACTTTACCCTTTTCAACAAATGTCAGTGACGTAAAACAAAGTGGTAAGTCTGATATTTCAGTCATTGAGATATTTTTAATAATGCAGTCACGTATCAGTAAAAGATACATGATTTTGGACATGATTTTGGACAAGCATTTGAATCAGGACAAACTTGAATGATGGCAAGTTTAATGAGTACAGTTTAGTAAAAAAAATATTWAAAAAAATGTAATTCTGCAAACTTCATTGTCGGGAAAACCCGGTTCTGCAATCCAAACAAACTAGTTGTTACAGAGATTTCAACATTCAAAAGCGTGAGCTACGATTTCGAAAACATGCAAGTTGATACCACCAATGGATCGTAATAAATGTGATGAAATTCGGCTCATCGTGATGTTATTTTCAAGGTTCAAAATGCACGTGCAATGCATGAGTCACGCTTCCTATATACGTAAATCGTGACTTACCATAGTAAACCCTCCAAATCATATTAATGCATATTTGTATATAAAAGATTGGAAATRATGTGCCAAAAAGTACTGGAGAAGCTTTTTTCTTCACAAATATAAACGATATTTCATTTTCCAAACTTTTGTTTCGTAAATGCACGGGAATACCCCGGATGGCGTCACTTCAGCTCTTGGCTTTTATAATAAGCTTATTCATTTGATTTGATATAGCACAGTATTTTGGTTTATAAAAGCCGGGGAAAAATCGAAAATTTAGAAGGCCATAAGAAATAGTAATAACCTAGGCATTGCAGTTCAACAAAGAGAGACAAACAAAAAGAGTCGATGAATGAATGTGTCAGTAGATTAATCAATAAAACAAAAAGGCAAACCACATTTGGAATCATTGCCAACAAAATTCTAAAGATAGTTCATAATTCTAGATTTAAAGTAGAAAGAAATGAAGAAATGATGGATTTAGGAACATAGGGCGTTCCTTAACATAAAAAAATATAAAAAATACAACAGGATATGACATAAAATTCAACCTACCCAGATTTCTTCCGGAGTGAAATACTTTTTATGGAGTCCACTGTTAGTTCGTATCTTAACGACACAGCTTCTTTAAATTTCTCAACAGTTATCTCCTCCAAAAATATAGCATCATAGGCTTTTTCGGTCTCTTTTCGTAGATAAATAGTTAACAGTGGTGGAGGTCGACGTACGACTCTCTTTATTTTCGGGGCAAGTTTGAGGTGATCCAAAGCATCCGCTGTCTCTCTGAAGGCATCACTGGACGACCGCTTTCTGCCTTTCTCTCTCAACTGTTTGAGCAAAGGAGTACAGTATTTGCTCGAATCAAATGAGATACATTCATTTTGCATTATTTTGACGACCATATCCAAGAATTCTTCAAAATATTAAAACTGGGAGTGCCAAACTTGGTGAAGTTTTCTAGGAATAACAGATCCACAGCCTTTCAAAGCGARCAATTTCTACTAGCGAAATTTCGCAAAATATCCCTCGTATAGCACACAGGAAGTATCGCTAATATCCAAACCAATAAAACTGACTCTCACGATAARTTGAAGTCCATTTTAAAGGCATATTTTGTTGAATCCAGTACAACAAGTTTCAACACAACATTTCCACTTCGAAACCAGATTTCTCAGCCAGCGATTGACATCCACGCCGCCGGTTCCTTGACGATAACAATTTAYTATCAGGTTTAGACGAGTATTTAAATAATCAACCCACGGGGGCCCCCTAAAAGCAAAATAATATTACCTTCGTATTTAAAGCTAAAATATATATCTTTCATCCTATGCATTATGCTGTCCAATAAGAATATCAATAAGATTGCCAAAGTTTAAARTAATCAGCAATTTGAAGGAACTTTTAGTCTAAATTACTTTTCTTATTATAAATCCCCTACCCCACCTGGGCTGAATTAAATTTTACAGTATTTTTTTACTTTTAGCTTGTGACGTAGTAGCAGCAGACAAATCGAGAACTGACCAATCGAAATAAAGGAGAATTCGAAGGTGCACGTGAAAGTAATTTTACTGAATCGTGTAAAATATGTCATCCGAATATTTATTTCTCGTATCCGTTAGTCAGAAAAARACATAATACGAAAATACTAGGTTGATAAGAAGGTGAAATAATTTTTAAAGTTAAAGAAACACTCGAGATTAAACTTTGAAAACTTAAGGTAAAGTGATGGTAAGGTGGTTCAAGCAAAATTCATGCATGGCACATTACTATTATAGTAAGAAAACCGGATTTCCAAACCAGAATACGAGACAAGTCTCCGGTAAGACCGGCTGCTTTAGTACGTGGACTATGCTATATTTTATAATCAGTAAAAACTGGTTTAATGTCTTTTTTTAAGAAAGATAAAATTTAGATATTTTTGAAGTATTCAGCTTTATGTACTAATTTTTATGTGTTTTTCCCCATGCCACTATAAGCCCTTACAGCTGTAACCGTGTTCGCCAGATTATTCATGACGGGATGTTAGTTAGTCTTATTTATCGATTTAGTATTACGTTCTTTTTTTTAAGATTAAATCTTTAAAAAAAGAACGTAATCCACTTTCCAATCGCTGACAGGAGCAATTTTTGCTTCTCAGCCACTATAGTGTCGTCACGCCACGCTCATTCCCCAT